CATCACCATCATCATCATCGTCATCAGCATCACCACCATCATCATCATCATCATCATCACCGTGGTCGTCATCATCATCATCGTCGTCGTCACGCACTGGAATAACCAGTTTCTTCACTAGTTGGTATGGCGGATACTCACCACTTTTGCCCATTCATGACCGGGATCCACCGGAACAACGTAGCAAAATGGTGTAATATTCCCCAGTCTCTGTCACTTTGAGACCTGACATAGTGTTCCGGACATTCGTGTCTAAAGTTACCGGTCAGGAGGTTTTAGCCTCCGCCCCACTACCATGTCATACTGAACCAAAATCAACAATTACAGAACTAGAGCGCTGCCGGATTTTGTAGCTGCCTCAGGAGAACCCGGAAGACCGTCGGGTTACAGTACTATTGTAAGCTTGCTTGCCACCTTTTTCAACGGTCAAGTTGCATTGGCAAGAATCCGTCATTTGACTTCACAGATCACATGAACAACCGACTTCTTCAGCCTGAGCTAAGAATGTCTTGTGTGTCAAGCAGACTTTCACGTAGCCACCTATTTTGTATGTTTGTCTCAGACGAATGCCTGCTATTTTTTATCCAGAATGATCCACTGATGTGACAAAATGACTTTCCAGCAGGCTTCATTATACAAGTCATTGATGGTGGTATGTCGGTAATAGATTTGAGTTAAAGACATATGGCCCTCAGGTTGTGGGAGTGAACAAGTCATCTGCGATCCTGAGAGGACTGTTTCCTCAGAAAAGAATGCCAAGTTGGCGTAAATGACCTAGATTTCTTGGCTTCTTTTTTGGGAATGTCCTTGAGTGGAGGAAGCGTTTGCGAAAGCGCGGCATGCACTTTTGGACCTGAATAATCTTTCCCCCTCCCTGTGTGCTGAAGAACCTTGTGTTTGCTATCCTGATAATTTTTTTCTAACGGGCTGGTGATCTCCTGATCCTGACTTTATTTCGTAAGAACTGCCTTTCTACTTGCGAAGGGAATCGAGGCAACCTCGATTGTATGTAGGAACTATCCGATATATGGAGGCTTGATAAACTATGCAGTTCATCAATTAGCCATTTCACGTTAGTTGTCATGGTGTAGGTTCTGAACCAGTGGTTGACAAGCTTAGCTATGAGAAATGAACACGGTCTCGTCAATTGGCAAGTCGTCATGTGTGGTACCCAGCTTCATTTTTTTTTCGTCATGGGGGTACCCAGCTTCATTTTTTTTCCTGTAAAACAGACCGGCCACCGAATCACCTTGGCGCCAAATTTAGATATTCATTCATATGACCTCGCACATGTGCGGTTGGTTTGCAACCTGGCTGAATAAAAATGACGGGACAACATATTGCTAATCTCCTGTGAATACATGTAAACAGGACCTTTAGGAATGTTGATTTTGCTGATGGACTGGAGTAAGGTTCTTAACTTTGAGGTTTATATGTTTGAATCAGTAACTGACACAATCTTTATGCCCGAGTCAATCGCAGTCTGGTTACAAACTGACCTTTTGAACCATGTTAAATATTCTATCTGCGTGTCAAGCCAACCAAGAAACTGGGGATGGATGTGAGGAGAAGTAAAAGATTTCAAGTGGTTATCAAAAGGACGGGTGATGATTGCCATTCGATTTAGAACTCACAGTGTTTGCATGAAAGAAGAGCGTTTGCGGATTTGTGGCATCATTGGCCTGTGAGCAGACCTACTCAGTAATGCCAGTCGGAGCATGTGGTTTGATCCTCGGTCGCGCAAATGGGAGAGACGATATCAGTTACAGCACTTTCTCTCATGAAAATCATCCTTGGGGGATTGTCAAAATTGGTGGTTGCCTTGGTGTTTGTGGACATCATAGTTGTCCAAGTTTTGTGTGATCTTGTGTCCCTGTTGGTTTGGCTACTTGTTTTGTAGTAAAACCCATGGATTCAGTGTCGTTTATTGGCATTTTTTGCGCGACTGCATTGTTCTTTTCCTCCGATTAAATAAGACCTCTTTACAAGGTGTTCTTCTTCGACAATACTTCGAGAACTGTTTGCTTATTTTATTACAAACCCCTCATTTCCGAGGCCAGTAAATCCATTGGCAAAGACAAAAATATCTTTGATTCATGGGGTTTGACTAATTCGGTTAGAGATGGAGCCTCAAAACCGAAAAAGTCCAGATTCTTTCACCAACAGGACGGTATTCATAGACTCCCCTCCTGATTGAAACGTTTTCCAATAACGTTCTGATGGGATCTTTCGTGCTGGTGGTATTCAGAGCTCAGGTTTTGCGGATTTTTCAACAAGCTGGAACAAACATACCTGCTTTGTTTTTTCGTCTGTCTCAGTGATCCTCACATCGTTTTCCACTGAAAACAAAAATCGTTCTTTTTTCTGCCAGGTATTGGACAGCTGCGATTCCAATTCGTAAGCATCGCGCGTAATTTATTGCGGAAACTGAGTGCCACACAATAAGGGTAATCCCAGGGTCATAGTTCTTCCTGAAAGATTTTTACTCTGGGCACCGTAAGCTTTCTCGCGACCGCAACCAATTGGTGACAACTGGTGTAACGGTGATACTACTGATGGGGAGGCACGCGAGTGGTTGTTGTTAGTGGAATTTTGCTTTGTGTCTTTTGAAAAGGAGAGATCTGTTGCGGAATTCGAGGAGTCACTTTGTGACATTTGCTTGGTTTTGAGCGAGGAATGATTGGAGTCAATGAATCTCCAGGAAAGTTAAATTGAAAAGGAAGATCTGTTGCGGAATTCGAGGAGTCACTTTGTGACATTTGCTTGGTTTTGAGCGAGGAATGATTGGAGTCAATGAATCTCCAGGAAAGTTCAAGAAGTTGCCCCCAGGAGAAGATGGATATCCAGTTTTTGTTAATAAGATACAAATTAGAGTTTTGCTTCCCTGTCCAGTGGTCTTCAACCGGTCAGTTGTCATTTCCTAATAAATAACTACGCAGCGAAGGCTTTTGTAACGCATTTGAAACTCGAATGTATCTGCTTGCCCGTTTCTCATATGACCTTATACGTGCCCCTCCCTTTCTCTCTTCCCCCATTGCAGGTACCACGGACGAATCACCACGGGCCCTGGACAGGGAAGAGTACCCCACTTGTACACCCCCTAACTGACCTTGACCCGACCCTGGACACACCCCCCGCTTCCGGGTTCGGTTCGGGTTAATACACGTGCGTTGTTGCTACACTCCGGTCTTCTTCCCTGTACCACCCGACCTGTGCGCATGTGTGCTGTGTATACTGTGTGGATTCATTAATACCAGCCCGTATATCTGCACATTTCAGAACTGACGTGTGCCGTCCTCTCGAACGTCGAATACCGCTGACTTCCTGACATCCCGCGCTACATTGGTGACAGAGGTGGGATACAGTCAGTCCCGTGACTTGAGTGGCTACCTTTGAGACAGGTCCTTTCAATTGGTAGTGATGGCTGATCACCCTCAAGATTTACAAATGGATCACAACTGGTCTGCGTTTGTGTATTGGAAAACAGTGCGGTTGACAACTCATTGAATCGCAACTACTCCAGCTAACTATAGAAGCTGTTTCGCAAACTCCGTCCGCTAATTGATTAAATCCATGAACAACGATAGTCTTGGCGAAACACACTAATTTTTCGAACCAATTTGGTTTTGACGGAAGACCTACCTGGAACTCAGCTGAATCTCTCATTTATTACGTTTGTGAGCAGCTGAATGTACTGCGCCAGACCGCCTTATGTTTCAGTTGGTACGATATTCGAGATATCGCGATACGTGTACAGACATAACACACTACTCATAAGATTGCTAAAAACTGTGGTCTTGGTTATTAACCCAGTGGTCGATGGCTTACCAGCTGGCTCGCAAACGTTTTGGCATTAGTCTAGGAGTTATCATCGGTGAGGAGCTGAGTGAGTGACACGCCAAATCCACATCCATCCACTCCTCGCAAAACAAAATCTTTGTCGCTCTAGCCTTGGTCGACCGAAACCGGCGTGGCATAGGCAGGGGTGACGACCATTACAAAGCTTTTAAGGCCGATTGTTCAAGCAGCTGTTCAAAGGTGTGTACTGACCATGGAGATTTATGGACTGTTTCATTGTCATGACTTGTTCCAAAATCTGGAGATGGACCGGTGCGCACGAGGTGAGCCAATATGTGCGTAATACTGTAATACCGAGGCGTCACAAGTGATATTATGTTCTGTCATCTCATTCGAAAAAAGGAGTTTACAAATAATGCGACCATATTTTGCGCATGAGAATCAGTGGATACACCAGAATTGACAGTCTTAGTTCGATCTCTCAACCATGTGGTGAGCCCTGTTCTAGAACCTCTTTGTGGATTGTGAAAATGCGAAATATATACTACTCATGAGTAGGTTAGAATCGATATAAAACTTCGATGTAAGTAAGCACTCATCCATTGGATGGTCAAGTGAGTGCAGTGAATAAGACGACGGAGCAAGACAACTGATTGTTTGAAATTTCAGGCACAATTTCAGACCATGTTTGCACTGCCCTTATGAGAATAACTAAACCATTTCTAGCGGACTAAGAATTATTCACCCACTCGTAAGGTACTTCAAAAAGATATGAAAAATTTCCGGTTGGATGTCAGCTGATATCACTCTCAAATTCTTTCACTAATTACTGTGTGCCCATTAGGTCTACCTTCCATTTCATTGATTCATTCTGCTCGCGAACCGAAGCAATTCATATATGTACTCTAGGTGGCCATCATTTGGATGGCAACGTTCTTTGTCGCTTCTCTCCTTCAACCGCCAACGCATTTCCAAACCACATACATTGCCGAGCGCAGAAATTTAAGGTTACATCGCGGTGCCGACGCGTTATTGATCGACACTCAGGCGACCAGCGTAACTTTGCTCGCTGGTACACGTCTTGTCGTTCCGAGGTTTTAGCAACTTATAAAAAGAATCACTTGAGCCAGATTTAAAAGGTTGGGAAGATCTCACGGCACTAAACGAGATTATGTCGTCATATTTCGCGTTGCCACTCCCTATCCTGCAGCCTCAGCAGGGGTTTCGTAATTGAAAATTAGGCTTACTTTGGTAGGTAGTGGTTGAGCATGTGTGGGGCTCCTGAATTTTTGTTCCTGGAAAATGTACGACAGTTTAACAGCAAAGAGTTTCAGCAATTCACTCAAAGTTGTTGATTCGAGCACCGTTTGGAAGTCGGTCATAGAGCCATTCAAAAGATGATAGAAAGTCTGCCGTGAAAAAGAGCGAGACTTATCTTGACGATCGCGGAAGATGTCGAAGAGGACCATTATCCGGTGCCATAGAAGCACCAACCACAGTGAATGGACGCTCACCTGCGCAGTGGATACTTTGCCGCAGAACGCGCACATCACTGGCGATCGCTTTGTTGCCGAGTCATTTTGGACTCCCAAGCGCCAGCTTAAAAGAACATGGCTTCAAAAAGGCTGTTACGAACGGAAAGCCCAGCAGTTACCTGAGCCACAGGAACTGGATAAGGAATCAGTTACACATGTTCCGAAAATCCTGGATCGACGGTGACAAGAAGGTCGATAGATGTATGACCACAGTCCATATAACGTAGATGTAGACGGGACGAACAGGCACATGATAAGATGTATCTCATAGAAGACTGTGATGAGCCAGCAAACCCGGAACTTGCCAAGGGGTGGAACATTTTTTCGGGAGCCGAAGGATGTGGGAGTATAGGCCTATGGTCGGGCCAGCTTACAACCTTCCTCCGGTAAATCAGCGGAGCCTTTTCACTGCAAGCCAGCGCGGGCTTCAGCTGTTCAATTAGCACCACCAATTTGCTTTTTTTTAAATCATTACTAAAGTTTAAGCTAATTAGCGTCTTTGAACAAACGAGGGTCAACCGACTCCAACTGCCACGGTGCCGTTCAGATGGTGGACCGACCACGATCGAGCATCACTGGACATCCGACGAAAGGTGTAAAGAATGGCGAATAATGCCGATACAATCCTCAGGTTTTGGACTGATAACTGTGATTCCCCCGGAATGGAGAGAGCATTTTTGAGCGGTTTCTGAGACTAGCACGTTGATCACCGTGCAATCTTCTGCCGGCTTTCTAAAGCAACCCACAAAACAGCCTACAAGCGGGATCTCGGCGACCGAACACGATCGGCTACACTCCCGCTAGATTCCGTTATTTCTGCTGAGCTTGGTCTTTTTACTTTCACTTCGGGCACTTAAACACGCGATTTACTGGGTAATGGCACTTTACTTCTTCCGAGTATCCAAACAAGACAGTGGAGACAAATGCCCATTACAGACACGCAACATCAGGCTTTTTGTTTGCCTCAAATCTACTTGATTGGTTTATCTTCGTACTGAGCACTCCGGCTGAGCACTTGACCATGTTTGCAAGCTTCACTCGGTTCATACTCTTCCACTAGATCAGCCGCATAGAGCACCTATCCATCCAACAGTGTTCTGCACGCCACTGGCAGTCGTGACATATCCGCCGACCAGTTGCTTCGAAAATAACTGAACTATTCCGTTGCGATGTAACCAGCAAGATAGTGATCAGCGGTTTGCACCCGGAATAGTGCAAGAGAGTTAAACATGACAATCACCCAAACAAATGCTAATTATGGCAAAAGCTATAATCCTTACTTTCACACCACTCATCTTAGGCCAAAGTATGAGCATTAACGGTCATGCAAAGTGTTGATAAGAGGCGAATGTGGATAGTCACTGTACGTGTCTAATCACCTTGTCTGAAGAGCCCCAGGGAAGTGACACGAGAAACATACAGACCAAACGCGTAAAAAGCCCCAGCGATGACATGTTCCAACTGAGCAGCCAAATGCACTCCTTTGAATCTCTATTTGATTTTCACAGGGGGTCCAAATAACTATCTGCTTTATAATTTCAGCAACTTTATGAGTAGTGTGTCACGTTTTCTAACTGAACAGATTTCTGTCTGTGCGCTGGCGTGTTTATGCATCGCACATCATCCTTCCGGCCGAACGAATGTTAGTCAAGCGCGCGCACACACACAATAGCCGAAAATTTTAAGCACGAAAAAGACAAACAGACGATTCTATTCCGAAATGGAAGTGAACTCAGCTTTCTCTGCCTCCTTCCGCCTTCTATCACACCTTCACTTGCCGTGAAAGTGAACCGCATATTGCAACTTAGCCCATGGATAAATGAACTTGATGTTATAGCGACTGCATACGCATGCATGTCTGTAAAAGAGGCGAAGATCCTATGAACCAGTTGAATCTTGCCTATGCACGTGCTGCGTGTAAGGTTTAGATAATTGTGGAACGGAGGTTTATCCCTAAACACAATTGAGTATTTGGCAGACGGTTTTGTGTGGATGGGAATTATCTGTAAGAAATTGAAGCCAAGTCACTGGACGTTCAGTACAAGGAATAAGCATTGGTATTGTTGACAGTAGTGATCAAAAGTAGTGATCTATGCAGTGCAAATGGAGGATTGACTCCAACTAACGTATGCATTAACAAAATTCGAAATGTCGTTGCTGATAGTCAGAAGGCTGCGTTAACGTCGTTAGGTGTTCCGGATACCGTATACCTTTTTTTTAAAATCAAATAACGGTGTAGTACCGCCTGATTTAACTTAAATATACCTGCAGGTGGGTGGAAAACTCTCATTTAGACAGAGACTGTCGTAAATAAGGGCGTAAGTCTAAGCCAGTCAACGAATATGTTTTTGCGTAATCAAAAGTGTCATATCAAAGTGTCATATCAGGTAGTACAAGAATCGGATACATGTTATTACAGGCTGGGTAGGGAATCGGAGTGTCTGAAGCCAGGTAGTGAATAAGAGTCTTCAGGGCCGACTGACTGGCCTTGAGCTGTTCCTTGATTAATCAGCACAGGGTTGAACTGGTTAGATCACAGTGAGCACGGAACTTGGTCAGTCGGTTTTGAACGCACGGCTGTGGAGAACATTCCAATCCTGGATCTCTGTGATAATTTCAGACTATTCTCGTGGATAACTGTGAATGCCATTGCAGGATGCTGCGTGTCTAAGAGAAGTGCCCACAACAAACTGTCAATAGATCTTGCAACTCTGTTAGAGAGCCAGGAAGGCATACTTTCAGAGGAATTCGCCCAAATGGGTAGTCTGATTGACTGCATTGTTTTACAGAAGGCCGCGAGTGAAAATGGCAACGAACTAACCACGCGTAGCTCATTGAATTTGAACAATCCCCGCTTCGTAAGAACGGGCTTTCTACCCTCTGTCCTCAAAATTTTAAGTTGTTGCTTCATCATTAACCACAATTGAGCCCGAGAGTCAAAGATGGCAAATGGCCAATAACTATCCACTCTCCCGCGCCAGAAATCCTACACGGTCGCGATAACGGAGGAGTTAGATACATGGAAGGCGCTTCCATTCACTATGGAAAGTTCCAAATCCGGACTGACGTCCAAAAATATTGTTGAAGATGGCGAGTAAAAAATATTGATAAATCCAAAGGGCAGGGTTTGGTAGTTCGTGTCGCATAGTTCGACGTTTCGTCTTATGTCAGCCGTCTAATTTATTCGCTTTGGGAGACTACTCTCACTTTACCAGGAATTTAGTTCTGACGGAAAACTTGCCTGAATCCTGCTAAATCTCTCGTTTACTGGCCCGCTTCCACTGAATGTGCTGCAGTTGGTACGATATTCAAGATGACGCGATAGTTGTCGTCTATATGCAACACACTACTCAGAAAACCCTTCAACAACCGATTTTACCATTTTCGGAGCCCATAAGGTGGGTGCGGGTCATCACAACCGTAGAATGAGTGGGATGTAGCCGAGTCTTTTGTCAGTACCAAATTCATGTGGAAATGACAGTGTTTGTGGAAATATGTCTAATTCAACCAGGACATAAGGCTGATGGAAACTTGGAGACTGCGCCTACCTGGTAAACCCTAAGAAGGGTGAAACCGGTCGTGGCTGTCGAATAGCAGCGTGTTACTGTTAGATGATTGGTTTGATTTAGACAGGACAGCCGGAGGCACATAAAGTAGCAAGTGGAAAACCGAATTGGAACACTAAAACAGACGAAAATCTTGTGTAAGTCAATATACCAGAACCAAACATTACAATCTTTAGCAAAGTGATCACTTCTCATAGACGTGTGCAAACCACTTATGGGGAAAGTAGTATCTGTATTTACGCTCGCAATCACGTGTTAGTGTGTCTGAAAACACGGCCATTCGGTCACTACTTGACTGGACAAGAGCAGCAGCTTGATTAACGGTTCGATTGCTTACAAATCGCTCCACAATCGGCTGTTAGTTTCATATCAAGTTCTTGTAGCATAAAGATTGACAAGTCCAATTAGTCTTCTGTTTTAGTTCACGTGTTCATAATCACGCAAACAATGAAGTGACAGACCAGTTTGCCTAACCGTCCCATTGGTTCACACCAGACTGTGGGGGTCAAACTGTTTTACCGAAGAGCCGCATCATGAGGGCATCTATATTTTCTCAGTCTCACGAGCTGTTTTGTTTAGGACAAGACGTAAAACACATTTACTTGGAGCAGTTTACCTAACCGTCCCATTGGTTCCCACCATACTGTGGGGATCAAACTGTTTCACAGAATTGCCGCATCATGATGGTATCTATATTTTCTCAGTCTCACATGCTGTTTTTTAGGACAAGACGTAAAACACATTTACTTGCACATCTAGTGTCACTGCATCTCATTCAGTTCAATGGACTAAATCTGCTCCCGAAAGATGGTAACAGAAGCTGACAAAATGTGATGAGCATAATCGTGGAACATGCAAATATTTGTTTATGGTATCCACCTAAACAGTTTTGTGCCGAGACATTACTCGTAGCTTGACAGCCAAATGGACAGAAAGTGCCCAAACGTAAGCTTCCACAGTATTTGGTAAACACCATTCGATAGGAGCTATAAGAGTTAATAACCTCAGGCTTTCTGATAAGTGAGAGCGCTTCTCCTGAATATACCGAGGCGTTTGTGACAAAATGAAAGGAGTCGCTACTCGACGACAGAGTTTGTCGAGTTCAGGCTATCAGATGCTGTTTGAATGGTATGAATCTGTGTAGGAATACCATAATGACTATTAATGACACACGACTTCGTACATTCTTTGCACACCAACTGATTCATGTTGAAGGTAATGCGCATGGTTGTATACTTCAACGTTCCTGGATGTGCAGAATCCTCATTCGCTAGAAAAGTCGTTCACAGAACCTGACCGAGGAACATTCTTCGCGGACTTTGTGATAATCTCTGTGGAACATATATGACGGTGCGTCACGTGATTTCACATCTTATTACTGATCCTGTTGAGTAGAAAAGTTGTACTTTTTGCTTGTCCCATCGGATGCGATATGCGACATAACTGGCAGCGGCTGTTGATCATGTGATGTTCCGATTACACTCTTCCTTCCTGGAAGGCAATGCGATATACTGAAATGCAACAGTGGGTGGTATTTTCTTAGTGGCATTCTCTCCATAGGGATGTAACTGTAGTCCACTCGATATTTCACTGGTTTCCCGAAACTGACATAGCGGATCATCCCCGGCTCTTCTCTGCTAACTGAGTGATTGCCAAATGACGGACTAACCAACTGACCCAGTAGTATATTTACCCAGTTGCACTCATCGTATGTCTGTATGGATGCTTCATTTTTAGTCCTAGTAGAATGCCGGTGGAAATGGCACCATACACCGGATGTAGTTTACTTTTTGTACAATCATTAACTCCAGTCAAAGGCCGGTTCACATGTAAGGTATGGCAAACTGGAGCACCGTTTTGCATACACTGAGGGGCTTGATGTAAATCCAAGACTTTTAAGTAGTTTTATCGTTATGCAGCTAAGTAAAGGCAACCTAGCTAGGCAAATTCATTTTCAAATACGTGATGTAACCTAACCACCATGGGCGTCTAAGTACCCAGTAACCCTACTAAAATCCAAATTTAAGTGAAGTTGTTTCCCTTCATTCGGACACGCCGTTTGTGTTAGATATAACTGGAAACACCAGTTATAGGACATTTATTATCATATCTGATGACATGAAAGAAAAGATTTTCAAGATGAAAATTGCCGGTGCATACGGTACATACTACTGCTGAGGCATGCCAGTAGTATGTTCCCCCTAAATCCTCTTCGCGTCTCGTGAGAGGTGGGATCTATTATGGACTTTGTGGAGCCACTTTGTGGCATTTGCTTGCATTTGAGCAACAGTCAACGAATATCCAAGAAAGTTCAGGAAGACGTGTTCAAGGAGAAGATCGATGTTCGGTTTTCGTAAACAAGATGCATACGAGAGATTTGCTTCCCTGAACAATAGTCTGTAACTGTTCAATTGGAGTCTTCTAATAAACAACTCCGCAGCGAAGACCTCTTTCTTCGCGTCTGTGAGAGGTGGGATCTATTATGGACTTTGTGGAGCCACTTTGTGGCATTTGCTTGCATTTGAGCAACAGTCAACGAATATCCAGGAAAGTTCAGGAAGACGTGTTCAAGGAGAAGATCGATGTTCGGTTTTCGTAAACAAGATGCATACGAGAGATTTGCTTCCCTGAACAATAGTCTGTAACTGTTCAATTGGAGTCTTCTAATAAACAACTCCGCAGCGAAGACCTCTTTTTTCTTCTCTTTTTTTCACCGGTAGTGAGGTTTTAGCATGGTCAACTTGCCACATTCTCATGATTCACCTTTGCCTGTCAGCTACCTTCACTTACAGCGCTAGTTACTATTATCACAATGAGCATTTGAATATGTGAAAATATCCTTATATCAATCCTTAGAAAATGAGAATTCTCTACGTTCGTATTCAATTGTCCTATGAGACAAACACAACAATAAAGTAGAAATCTGTGTTAAGATATCACACGCTATTGTCTTATTGCTGGAAAGAAAACAAGGGCACTATCTACTCACTGCGGGGAGTTTGACTGATTAGCCAAGGTAGCGTGTCTCGCTTATGGGTAAAGAGAAGGGTCTTCATTCCTAATAGCCATCGTTTCACATAGGAGGCGAATCGCTTGACCTAAGTAGTTCACTGGACGTTCGTAGACGAGTTAGTAAATAACCGGAGGGGAATATTTAACTCAAATTTTATCTATGATGTTTGTATTGAAGAATTGGTCACCATCGAAGTGCATCCTCGGCTGTGCTGCATTGAGCTCTTTCCGTAGATGGCCGGCTCGGAAATGAATCACTTTTTTGAAATTAACGTCTTTGTCAATTGGTGGCTGACTGTATAAGAACTTTTTTGGGAGTGTTGGGTTCCTTCCTTGTGCCACTTGGTTTTGGCTCAGATGTCTCAGCATCTGTAACGATTTTTCGTATGACTTCGTAGATTTTACCGTCTCTGCAACCGAGTCATTTCGCGAGATCTTTTTGGCTCATATCTACAAAGCTTCGGAAATCGACGCATTGTATCAGGGTTTTTCATTTCTATTCTTATTTTGAGTCGACTCTCTTGATTGTCAGTCCTTATGGCTTCAAAAAACTGGAGTTGTCATTAGACGTCTCTCCTCTGCTAAAGTGCAGTGTCGGGTGTTCACAGTAGTTTTAATTTTTTGGGTTATGGTCTTTTTTCTTTCCCATAAGCTACGCACATGTAATACTTCTGTAACGTCTGGGTTAGCTTTCCTATGCTTTCCAATTAAATTCGAAGTTTACCAAGTAACCCTGGTTATCGGACAACTCAGACAATTAATCAAATCAATATCAGACCTCCAGACTCACCAAGAGCCCAATGACAACATTTGCCATTGCAACCAGTATATTCGAATTTATTCAAGACCATTTGTCCTAAGACATAGAAAATTCCTACAAAGGTGCCATATCACGTTCTATGGTATATCACTACGGCGACATGCTGTCCCTGTGAATGCGGTCGAACTTGAACGTCTCGTCGGTCAGAATCGGTGCTTGTGCGAGCAGTTGTTGGGGACATTTTTTTATCACCGAAGTCAGTACCTGAGGATCAAAGCGACAAATGTTCATACTACTCTGAGGGCATACTCTCAACGTATAATACTTATTCAGCGGCACTACCAGCGGACGAAGAGATGGAGCGGTGAGGGTCTCCTCACTTGGACCCATCTCAACTGCGATTCCCATTGATAAATTGGACCACGAGACCCTAAGCAATACATAAAAACACGCCAGTTTACAAACGATTTGATAGTCAGGTTCGTTATATCTGGCTCCCTCTGGAGACTGGTTCTCCTTCTGCATGCTTCTTTCAACGCGCGCGTTTTGAACTTAAGCTGTCCGTGCCGCACATCGATCTAGTAAAATGGCTGAAGAAAACAAAGTCTGATCAAGATGCGTTCGGCACTTTTTTGTGTTCACTGAAACTTTGGGTGTTTTGAGTGTAGCTAATTTAGATTCGGATTCCATTTTGACTATGAGTTATACGGAAAAGACTGAAATTCCTGCTAAATATTGTAGGATTATTAATACTCAGGTAAAAGCTGTATAAGTGAAGATCCGATTATTCTCCATTTATTGGTCATGTCTGTTCCTGATGATGAAAGTTTTTTGTGAATCAATGGTCAAAATTAGATCCTCCTGGAGCTAGAAAGTTCTGTTTCAAGCTTGCTAGGAAGTCGAGTGGAGGATCTCGGGGAAAGTTGTACCTAAATGCGTACAAATTTGCACCAGAAAACTGTATGATTTCCGTGACGGAAAGAAAAGAAAAAGAGTCCCGGGACCAAATTAACGCAAAACACCAAGGAAGATAGCAATTTGTTGACATCTCTGAAAGGTTAACCACTTACTGAATCACGGCGTCGTCTTCGGTAACAACCTTGTTTGACTAATTGGTGCATCAATAAACCTACCACATTGGGTCAATTCCGTGAAGAACTGAATATGGTTCTCACAGCCTTTTGTAGGAATACTGTTAATCTCGTCATTTATTGCATGCAGTACGCCAGCAACTTATGTGAACATACTGGGGGAACCACGAAGTAAGGAAATCCAAACCACCCCAGATGATGTTCGAAAGTGAGTCTTGTTGAACTCCAGTTGTATTCGCACGTTCGGTTTTATTGTCAACTTTGTCTGCAGCTTGATATGATGAATTAAAAGATGGTGCATCCTGGTGGTGTAATTGATGTGGATAGTTGAAAGCGCTGGTTTGGGTTTTCTTTACCTTAAAAATGGGCGTCAAATCAATAGTTTATGAATTGGACAGAGTAGTTTCAACAGAAGAACCAGATTTAGTCAGCGTTTGAAAGATACTCGAGCCATGGCAATAAATAATTACATTCCAATGGTAACATACATTCAGTCTGTTTTCAGTCTCTCCTAAACAAAGAGTCGTTTATCGTTGCACTGTCCCATCTTGCTTCATTTGATACGGTTCCTTGCGGTGTTTATATCGACCGAAAGAACTTCAGCAACAAGATTTCTACGCTAAATGCTTTCGCAAATCCATCTGTTTGTCCAACTCGACTGAATGCAACCAGAAAGAGCGGAATGAAACAGACTTCAGCAGTAAAATCGATCACCACGACAATTCATATTCGGGTATTTCTGTTGCTCTCTTGTAAAGTTTTTATGGGTGGGTCGCAACAGCAGCGAGGATAAGAAAAGAACAGAAAAATCGTACGGTCCATTGGAAGTTCACAAGTAACCTTAGGAAATTAATGCAGATCGGGGATCATTGAGTAAATACATTCATTCCATTTATATGGTGGATTTTGGTCCCTTTTTTACCGAGATTCTAAGGCTCACATTTGGGAAGTCAGTTTCTCACTGATCAGATGAACGTGGATGTACAAGTTGACTGAATTGTGACGTTGTTTGCTGAATCACCAAGGACGTAAGGTTCATCGCTGTGCAGGACCTGTTTCCAAACGGGCGAAACCGTGACCAAACCACTTAGGATGCTACAGCACACATGAAAGTGTGTTTTTTGTGAGAACTTTCCAGAATCATTCCCCGGCCACCCGCACATTATCGGTTCCTCATTAAGTTTCAATTTCACTAGAATTAATTTATTAAACTCAGTGAGCAAGACTGACTGTTGCTCTTGATCCATAGGTCTTTTTTTATTTCCAGACTACAGTCGTTACCGCTCGAACGACATATCGGTGTTAAGTTCTACGAACGTAACTGTGATGTTCCGCCAGGTAACGAAAGGGTCAACATCTTCGCAAACCCACTTTGCTCTACCGGTGAATCTTTCGTTGCTGATTTTCATTAACCAGTAGTACGGCACAGTTCGTACGACATTTGGGATAACACAGTACACTGTTTTGACAACGCACATAAGTTTAATGAAAATTTTTCGGAAGCCCACGACGGGTTTCGTTGACTGGGTAGGTGCGGCCTCTTCTATCTTATGTTTTACTTGGATCCAGATCAGACATAATTCGTGGAACACGCATTTACACACTGATTTGGTTTTAAAGGGAGACTAAAACCGAATCCAAGTGACCGCAATTCTGAAGCAAACCGGTGACGTAAGCATACTATTTTCGTCTACTGTTACTCATCCCACAAGTGATATTTTCCATGAGTGCTGCCCAGAATGCCAGGGGTTTACTGGATGATGACCCCATTGAACCGATATACACATAAGTGTGATGGGAACTCCTCATTCAGGCGGGGATCTCAAGAAGAGACGTTAAAGATCAAAGGTCACATCCGAGAATGAAGTGTAGGTTTATCAGCCTCGAAACGGCGAAGACTTCTGGCAACAACTACAGGGATCTCAAGAAGAGACGATGAATGATAACTCAAGGCAGAAGTGAAGGAACGTTGACGATCAAAGGTCACATCCAAGAATGAAGTGTAGCCTTATCAGCCTTGAAACGGCGAAGAGGGCTGGCAACAATTTCAAGTCTTTGTAACATCGAGAGGCTGCTGCTGTCGCCATATTATGCGACAATTTAGAGAGTTTTGCACTCTAACTGATTCTCTGGCAAGCAGTGAAGTTAGGGAAGTGACGAGAAATATGGCCTGATGTCATTCAGTTGGAGCGCGATGTTTCTGAGAACATGCTCGAAAGTTCTGGTAGACAAACGCAACTCTATCCAAAAGGTAAGATACTCGAGGAGGCAACTGAAAAGCTGGATTGCATTAATTGGTTCCTGCCAGCATTTGTTAGCTGCGAAAACAGTTTTAAATGTTCTGATTATTTTTAACTAAAAGTAAAACCTTCATCGATTTTATCTTTTCTTCCTCTTTTTTTATGATGCTTTCTCGTACATTGTTTTGACTACGAGGGTAAGCTCCATCCTGCAGTAAGTTAATATAACTTCACAGCTTACCTTCGGAACGGAATTCCATGGTTCTGACAAAAGACCCAGAATTTATGGGTCCCGTCCAGTCAAGTTTGATATAATTGTAGGTAGTGTGAGGAGATTTGGGAGTTTTGTGGAGGTTTTGTACTGTAAGTGAAGCCAGTCTATCCTGAGCAGCCGAGAAGCACTGTACAGCTGTTTCATCCTTATTAGGAATCATCAGCAGTGCGCATCTCACGAAACTCCGAAGAGTCTCGAACCCGCGACCTCCCAGCTAGTAGTTTGAACACGTAACCGTTCGGCCACGAGTGCCTGATCAGCAGTGTGATTAATTCGCACTTAGGTAGAATATAGCGCCACTCATCCTTCAATCTAGGGATCCACATCACGCGATCACAAGTGTTGACTGGCTCCCCAAGCAACGACTTCTCAGATAGAAGTTTCACTCATCGGGTGAAGTTTATTCTTCCACTGAGCTACCTATATATTGTGGGTAGTGTGAGATTTGGGACTTTTGTGGTGATTTCGTCGAAATTTGACATAATTGCTTAGCGACCGATTTCCAGGCCATCGAGTGAATAACCGATACCCTTTGCCGCCTGTCCAACTCAAACCCGACACCAGCTTAGGAAATGTGTGAAGAGGTTTGTATCTTTTGTTCTTGTTGAATGCCATGCACCCCGACAAGAGGACTGCCTACATAATGTTTGGCGCTGCGAATCCCTGGTGGTACTCAGGAGGCATTTTTAGTGTTATTTTTGCTGTGAAAAGGCTTGCTTTATGACCCAGTACATTCCTAAAGATTCCTTTGGAGACCTAAGGATGTGTTCTAACCCCTCCTTAGGACGAATTTAAAAACAGTTTCCTCATGTGTCGTATTACGAAAGAAATTGCAGCTTCTCTGCGGCCCTTCTGAACCAAGCAATCAATGATAGCTATGCGAATCGTGAACTTTACACACAATTTTAATTTGAGCATCAGTAGAATAACGTGTCCTCGACGTACTATTTCAAAATATCTCTGGGAGTATTTGACGGAAGTTGCCAGTTAATCAGTTCTCAGGACTTCAACAATGTTGGGCAATGGCCAGGGTTCTGTGAATCGAGATATCGTCATGTTAGACCGTCATATCTCAGGCTTGATTTCATGTATGAAAAGAAACAGGAATAGAGCGGATATATTGGTTACATATCTCAACCATTGCACAAAACACTGCAGAATCACACCATAGATTTACTCACCGAAATCTTGATACTGTTATCGAAATGTATTCATAGATCAGAATAAACCTGTTCTTTCCAATGAATATTCTCCATTCTTGTGCATCCCACGTTGGTAGAAACGTGAGATACTTTACTTTACTTGATTCTTGTCTCGGTCACCGTCTTATCTTTGATTAGTCTGGCGCTGTGACGAATACGGCTTTTAATAGCGTCGTTGTTTTTTCTAGAATTCACATTGCATCTTACACTGTGCACTACCTTTGGGAGAAATCTCGGCATTTGGGACAGACATTTATAGAAACCTATTGCTAATAGTTTCCTGTTCCTTAAGAGTTGTGCCTTATCAATCTTGACGCGTTTTTATCCAAAAAGAAACAGTAAGAGCTAACATGTTATTTTCTAGCCATATTGGATGGTTCATTCATTCGACTGCTTCAGAAAAAAAACACCACACAGCACACATTAGTTGAAATCGCTGGTGAGTTAGCGAAGATAACTCATTTTGGATTACTGATCTGAAAACAAATTACACTTTCCTGCTGTTTGACGGTAAACACAAGTTATTTTTTCCAGAACCGGACATTTTAACATTGTAACCTGCGTACATTACTATCTATCAATAAACTCGTCAACAGGTCCCAAACTATTGAAAAAAACTACTCATAAGTTTTCGGAAAATCGTTAACAGCACACGAGGCTCATCAACTACGCGCAGTACCCGAGTTTCCAACAACAGTATTTTTTGTTTGAACCCAAATGTGCAAAATTCACGAAGTATGCTCACTCGCAACCCCATTTGTTTTTAACGGGAGAGTCATCTGAATTCCAAGGAAATTCAAAGGAAGAGAGATTCCGCCGCGATACAAATGTGCCTTCCCTTTTAAAACCAAATCGGTGGGCAAACGGGCCCTGAATTCCTTCATTTATTTAAGTAGTGCTCTAGAGCACTTCTGATCTTCAGAAATTTGTGAGTGACGCGTTGGAGTTCTAATGGTACTGCTATGAACACAGTGCAACTTAGTTTATCAGACTGCCGATAGTGTGGGACTAGGATTTTTTCATTTCTGTAACGAGGAGGCAAATTAACCATCAAATTGTGTGTGAGGATAAGCAACCTTTGTACACACACATTTCTGTACATAACTGGTGACAGAATAGGAAAGAGTACAATAAAGTAACACTAAACAACGCGGGATAAGTCCATCACAATTGGTACTTGGTGTGGGCATTCTACTGCCCGGTAGACTCAGTCCAATCGATTGGGCATAATTTGGAACTTTTACGCGGTCCGTTCCTTCGGAGCAAGGCGTACTGGATATACATGTGGCGTTATTTGAATATACACGGGACCTGTCACTTTGCAAGGTATGCATAAGTTTGGCGTGTATCTAAGTTCTTCACTCCTCTTGATCACCAGATGACGACATGGAGTCACTGTCAGAGTGCCGATACTGCCTCCAGCGATTTTACACAGACCGACGCCGTGACAACTAATCCTCTGAGTTAATAACCATTTACTCACTTCAGAAAATTATTTGCTACGCTCACCTTGCAAGTGTTCGGGGCTAGTTCAACTCACAGCCACCCAGATATTAGCTGGTACCAATTGTGTCAACAATGCGAGTGGTTTGCTTCCCAAAGGGATGTGGCGCCACTCATCTTTCAGTAACACCACGTAT